TATTTACCATATAATTATAATTAAATAAAATTTTCTAAAGACAAGAGGATTACTTTTCAACATCTTCCATTTGATGATTAATTGCCATTTTAATTAAAGTTACAGTGAAAAAAATAAAAAATTATTTGATCACAATAACAGATTACTTGTCGATTATCAAATAAATATTGATTGAAATTAATTAATTTTTTATTTAAGGCAAATAAATTTTTTTTGAATCAATAATTTTGGTATCTGAAGTAAAAACAATTTAATTAATTGACATAAACAAAAATTATTTGCAGCAAGAGTGTCATTTAATTTTTTGTTAAAACAAAAATTAATTGCGACACTTGCTGCAAATATTTTTTTTTATATTTGCATGGAGCATTAAGCCTAGAATCATTTAAATCAAATACCATTCAATTAAATTAAAAATTATTTTTAATTTTTTCTTTCTTTCAAATAAAAATTATTTGGAACAAATAAAACTTAATTGTGACATAAGTGAAAAATTATTTCAAGCAAATACCATTTAATTGACATAAATAAAAATTATTTCAATCAAATACTGTCTGATTAGAACATAAAATAGAAATTATTTTCAGCAAATACAGTTTAATTAACTGAAATAAAAATTATTTCAAGCAAATACCGTTTTGTTGACTTAAATAAAAAATGATTTGCCATAAAAAATATTTATTACACTCGAAAAAAATGTCTATTTTATCTAATAAATATTTCTTTTTTATTTAAAGTTTTTAATTTAATTTTTATTTGCCATAAATATTTGAATCAATTTTATAATCAAATAAATTTTTCTTTCATTGTAATAATTTCTATTTTTAATAATTTTTTCATAACTATTTTTAAATTTTTTTATAACTATTTTTTAATTATTTTAATTATTTTTTAATAATTTCTATTTTTATTATTGAATAATTTCTAACACTAAAGTTAATAATTAAATTAATTGAAAATTAATTAAAATAAGTAACTGAAATTATTTCAGAAAGAACTTTATTTAACTCACGAAGAAATATTCAATGTGTTCGTCAGGATTGAATTAAATGACAAAATATTATAAAATATTTCTCTGCTAGTATGCAAATTGCAACCCTTTCGAGATGTAGAGAAATAAATAATGAGCGTTTCACTGTAAATTGTAAATTGTTGAAATTGCGACAAAACTATATTATCCATTTTTTTCATTACTGTATTATCCGCCAGTTAGAATTTTATATCTTATTAATGTATCGCTATCATTATTCTTTAAATATTCCATAAGCCAAGGTGGAATAATACGTAGGGTTTTTGCTCCACACGAGAGCTATAGACTGAAAAATTTAAATGTCAGTCTTCGTTTAACTTCCAATCACTAGAGACAAAATATTATACTTTCAAGTCAAAATAACTTTTCTCAATTTTTTCATTACAATTATTATTATTTTATTTCTTAACTAAATAAATTTATTTAAAATGAAAAGAAATTTCTGTTGAACTAAAGACATTTATTTTGAAATGAAAAAATTTTTCTTGAAATAAGGAAATTTCTGATGAATTTAAGAAATTCATTTTCAAGTAAATAAATAAATTATTACTACCATACATATAATTAGCAAAATTAAAAAAAATGAAAGAGTAATGAAAGAAAAATGAAAGAGAATGAAAGAAAAATGAAAGAATAATAAAAGAAAAGAAAAATAAAAAAAAATTAAAAGAAAAATAAAAACAATTAGAGAAAAATAAAATAAAAAGAAAGAAAATAGAAAGGGAAAAAAGAATGAAATACATTAATTTGATGGAAATAATGAAAAATTCAAACAATGTATAAGGCAGAGATTTCGATAAAACTTTTTACAATTGCTGGCGCATGGAGACCAAATGAATTGTCAAATTATTTCTTAATCTTTATCTACAAAATTTATACTCTCATCTCAATTTTTCTTATTTATTCCTTTGAATTTTCATTATTAATGCATTTAATTTTACACGCATTAAATGATATCGATGAATTGTCCGAGGCATTAAGTTACACTACTACGGCACTTATCGTTTGTGTGAAAATGACATATATCCTTTTTCGAAGAAACGATATTATAGAATTACTGGAAATTTTAAATAAAAATTGTTTCCAACCTCGTAATATTGATGAGAAAAATAGACAAGAGAAATTTGATTTTATATCAAGGTAGGTAATAATTTTATATTATTATTAAAAGAAAAAATTGTGCGCAAAATAATTTTTTCCTGTTCCTTTTTGTCATTGCTGAGAGAATTTTCTTTTATACTTGCAGGAAAATTTTGAGTGAAATAATATAGATATTTATTTTTATTTCACTAATATATTTTTATTTCATTAATATATTTTTATTTCATTTGTAAATTTTTGTTTAAAATAAAATTTAATTTTTACAACAAATAAAAAAGTGTAAAAAAGAACCGAATTTGAAAATAAGTAGTAGAAACAAATTTTAATCAGTGAAAAATGTAAAAAAAAATAACTAAATTTAAAAACAAGTAGTAGAAACGTATTTTAGTCGGACAAAATTGTGAAAATTAAATTCATTAAAAAAATTAGAAGTAGAAACAAATTTTAGTCGGGCAAAACTGTAAAAATTAAATTAATTTTCAAAATAAGTAGTAGAAACAGGTTTTAGTCAGACAAAAAAGTGAAAATTAAAGTAATTTTCAAAATTAGTAGTAGAGACAAATTTTAGTCGGACAAAACTGTAAAAAGCAACTAAATCTGAAAACAAGTGGTAGAAACAAATTATAGTAAGACAAAATTGTGAAAATTTAATTAATTTTTTAAATAAGTGGTAGAAACAGATTTTTGTCAGACATAATTATAAAATATTAAATTAAAATTTACTTACTTAACTAAAAATAAATATTTTTTTTTCACTCAAAGTTCTATAACTTATCTAAAAGCCTGCTAGCATAAAAGGACTGTTAATATAATAAAATATAAAGAATAAAATGTAATTTAGAAACAAGAAATAATAAAAATAAAAATATAAAACAAAATGAGATAAATTATAAATAAGAAATTTTATTATAAAAAAAAATTCAAATACTGAATTAGAGTCTAAAATTATTAAATTATTATTTTCATTATTAATATTAAATTTAAATTTGTATATTCAGCGATATATTCAGATTATTATTATTATTATTATTATTATTATTATTATTATTATTATTATTATTATTATTATTATTATTATTATTATTATTATTATTATCGAAATAAATAAAAAAAAATACATTTTTTCATATTTATTATTTTAAGTAGAACAAAAATTTTTTTTTTTATTTAGTTTTGGTCGAAATTTTTTCTTCAATTTTTCTATAATTTTATTTTTTATTACTGTTCCTATTGTGTGTGATTGTAAAAAAATATGAAATGTTTTATTTATTTATCCAGAATATGTAAATGAAATAATGAAAATTTTTCTTTCGCAGAAAATACACGAAATTCTTTTGTATAATAGTTTTTTCCACAATAGTGGCTATGTCAATTGGAGGACTAATAACGGGAAATGATGTCAATTTGCCATTTAAGGTGTCATATCCATTCGAAGTTAAGCGTGTGGAAACATTTTGGACAATATACATTATGCAGTGTTTAAGTATTTACAGTGGTGGTTGTTTGTCAATAGGATTTGAAACATTTATCATGGTGTTGATAATTCAAATTTGCTCTCAACTAGATATAATATATCATCGTCTTCAAACCCTACCGGATTTACATAATAAATCTAGTGAAAAATCAACTCTTTTCCTTGAAACAGAAGAAGCGGAAATTTTAAAGGAATGCGTTTTACATCATAATTATATTTACATGTGTGTATTTTTATTTTTATTTTTATTTTTTCATAATAAAAATAACTGAATTTTTTTGAAAGAATTTTATTACTTTTGAAAATAATTTAATTGTTACGCAAAGAATTTTATTAAAATTTTTTAAAATAATTTTATTCTTCAAAGAAATTTAATTAAAAATGTATTGAAACTGAAAATAATACTAAAATTCTAATAAATAAATTGTAGCAATGGTTATTAAAATAATTCAATTTCTTTGATAAATTTTAATAAAATTTTTAAGAATAATAACTTTTTTTGAGGAATTCAATTAAAATTGTATTAAAAATAATTGGAATTCTGCGATGAGTTTTATTATTTTAAATTGAAACCGTTTGAAGTTCATTTATTAATGAAAATTGTAACCTCAACTCTTTTAAAATTGAATTAATTTTGAAACATTTAAGAAAAATTATTCATTAAATAATTTATTTATTTTATGATAATATAGTTGTTCAAGATTTAAGTTATTTAAAAATAAATTTTTGTCAGAAATTGAAGGGTTTGGTTAGAATTCGTGGTAATTTTATAGTTTATGAATCAAACAAAAAAGACACAAAAATTCAGAATTTTCTTATGAATTATAAAAATTTAATTTTTTTCAGTACATTTAATAAAAATTCCTGACTTTTCCCTAAATTCCCTATGTAAGAATATATAATTATTATAATTATAATAATATTAAAACTATATATTCCAATTTATATTTTATTTTTATAAAAAAAAATTTGAAATAAAAATTTTTACATTCTATTATTTTTAATATTTTTAAAATTTAAAATTTTATTTATCAATTGTTTTAAAAAATTCTATTAATATTTTTGAAAGGATTTGAATTGATTCGAAGAATTTGAATAAACATTTTAAAGAATTTTATTGTAATTTTTTTAAAATATTTTAATTTTGACGAAAGATTTTAATAAAAATTGAATTTCTGCGGAGACTTTGATTATTTATGAAAATAATAGAATTCTTTACAGAAAATGTTAATATTTTTTTTCCAATTAAATCTAAAAATTTTTATTTTGCAAAAATTTCAGGTTCGGCGATAAATTGAATGACATTTTTAGCGTTATATTTGGTATTCAATTCGTTGCATCAATTTTAAATATTTGCACTATTGTTTATAATTTAACAACTAGAAAGGAATTGAATGACACATTTTTTTCTGACGGTTTATTATTACAAAGTTTATTATTTCAAATATACATCTATTGTTACGCGGGAAACGAAGTAATGCTAAAAGTATGTACTATAACAAATTATGTAAAAAAATTATTTTTATATTTTTCTATTTTTGTTTGTTTATTAATTAATTTATTAATTATTAATTTATTTATTTTCTTATTATCTAAACTGAAAACAATTTATTTGATTCAAATATAAAATTATTGTTTTAAATAGATGCAATTTATATAATTTCTTTTGAATACCAATTTTGTATTCAAGTAAATATTTATTTTTGACAAATAGTTTGTTATTTGAATAAAATAATTTTTTTTCTGTGTAGGTTTACTATTCTTATTACTTATTTCGCAACTAAAATTTTGTGTCAAAAATTAATTTGAAATATGTATTTTTTTAATTAGAGTTTAAAATTAGCGGACGTTATTGTCACTGTAGATTGGACAATGCTAACAAAGAAAACAAAAGAAGGACTCGTTTTAATAGCAGTAAGATCAAAAAAGCCGATTGTCATTACTGGCGGTCCTATGATTTCCATGACATTGAATACTTTTGTTACAGTAAGATTTTCTCATCCTTTTTTTCAAAATAAAAAAATTATTTCCTCTTAAAAATTTTAAATTTTTCATTCATCAAATAATTATATCTATAATTTTCCGTAATTTTTTTTTTATAATAATTATCAATAGTTATATGTTAAAGTTATTTTTATTATTAAAAACTAAAAATTATTGCAAATATTTTTTAAACAAATTGAAAAGGAGAATAAAAGAAAGTAATTAATTTTTTTAAATAATAGTTCCTAATAATATTAAAATTATTTTTATAGTTAAAAAATATTGAAAATATTCTTTAAACAAAAAAAGGAAAATAAAAATTTAATTATTTTTTATTAACAGATTATGAGAACATCTTATGCTGCGTACAACTTACTTCAGAGTTCTGGTGCCTAACATTTAAAATAAAGATAGATTTTAAATAGATCCCTGTAAAAAAAAATAACGAAGTTTAACTGTTAACATTTATACCCTCTTAATATGAAATAAATTTCTCTCTGGTGACGAGAGATTTTTTTTTAGTATTAAATTATTTATTTTCATAAGGTTTATTAAATTTTTTGATTTACAGTTTAAAAAATATTAGAGAAATTACTTTAGAAAAAAAAGAGAAATCTCTTATTATATTAAGTTGAAGAACGACCGACCGACCGACCGACCGACCGACCGACCCTAGCCGTATATATATGTATATCTTTTAAAAATAATATTAACACAAATGTATACATATTCACAATGTCACGCATGCGCAGTAGTGTTCTGTCAATGTCACGCATGCGCAGTAGTGTTCTGTCAATGTCACGCATGCGCAGTAGTGTTCTGTCAATATCACGCATGCGCAGTAGTGTTGTCACGCATGCGCAGTAGTGTTCTGTCAATGTCACGCATGCGCAGTAGTGTTCTGTCAATGTCACGCATGCGCAGTAGTGTTCTGTCAATGTCACGCATGCGCAGTAGTGTTCTGTCAATGTCACGCATGCGCAGTAGTGTTCTGTCACTGTTACGCATGCGCAGTAGTGTTCTATCACTGTTACGCATGCGCAGTAGTGTTCTATCACTGTTACGCATGCGCAGTAGTGTTCTGTCAATATTACACATGCGCAGTAGTGTTCTATCACTGTTACGCATGCGCAGTAGTGTTCTGTCAATATTACACATGCGCAGTAGTGTTCTGTCAATATTACACATGCGCAGTAGTGTTCTGTCAATATTACACATGCGCAGTAGCGTTCTGTCAATATTACACATGCGCAGTAGTGTTCTGTCAATATTACACATGCGCAGTAGTGTTCTATCACTGTTACACATGCGCAGTAGTGTTCTGTCAATATTACACATGCGCAGTAGTGCTCTGACAATATTACACATGCGCAGTAGCGTTCTGTCAATATTACACATGCGCAGTAGTGTTCTGTCAATATTACACATGCGCAGTAGTGTTCTGTCAATATTACGCATGCGCAGTAGTGTTCTGTCAATATTACGCATGCGCAGTAGTGTTCTGTCAATATTACACATGCGCAGTAGTGTTCTGTCAATATTACACATGCGCAGTAGTGTTCTGTCAATATTACGCATGCGCAGTAGTGTTCTGTCAATATTACACATGCGCAGTAGTGCTCTGACAATATTACACATGCGCAGTAGCGTTCTGTCAATATTACACATGCGCAGTAGTGTTCTGTCAATATTACACATGCGCAGTAGTGTTCTGTCAATATTAGGCATGCGCAGTAGTGTTCTGTCAATATTACGCATGCGCAGTAGTGTTCTGTCAATATTACACATGCGCAGTAGTGTTCTGTCAATATTACACATGCGCAGTAGTGTTCTGTCAATATTAGGCATGCGCAGTAGTGTTCTGTCAATATTACGCATGCGCAGTAGTATTCTTTAAATATCAGGCATGCGCAGTAGTGTTCTATCAATGTCAGGCATGCGCACTATTTTCTATAAATGTCAGGCATGCGCAGTAGTGTTCTATCAATGTGAGGAATGCGCAGTAGTGTTCTATGAATATCAGGCATGCGCAGTAGTGTTCTATCAATGTGAGGAATGCGCAGTAGTGTTCTATGAATATCAAGCATGCGCACATAACACCCACACAAGTATACTCACACATATACACTAATCACATGTACATGTATACTCACACATGTTCATAAATTACATACACATGTATACTGCTCATATGCAGATATAAACTCCTACATATACACAAATCACATATATGTATAGATTTAATAAACGATTGATAATATAAATTGTTGAATTTTTTAAGGTTCGTTGATGCACGTAGTGTCTGTTGAAATTTCTTTAAATATACGTAAATACCTCACTCGCTAATGCTGCGCTGTCTGTGTTGTAATGAAACTTATTTATTTACTTGTGTATTTACTTATTTATTTCAGGGTTGCCACAAGACATCGATTTTAAAATTCCATGACTTTTCCAGGTTTTCCAGACCATTTCTTCAAAAATTCTAAACCAGAAATAAAATTGTTTTGGTATGTTTTTAGCTAATTACGACAAAAAGTATAAAATCCTTTAAGTAAATTGTTAACAAAATAAGTTATTAATTTTTAATTTCATTATTAACAAAAAATTAAGTTAAAATTTGTAAGGTTATTTGAGATACGCTCCGAAGAAAGATGAGGAGCAAATCTTTTTAAATTTAAAAATTTAGTTAAGTTTAGAATTTTTCACAATTATTAAACCAGTATTTTAAAAAGCATTTTAATAACATTTTATGAAACTGAAGTTACCTACGTTTATTCAATGACAATTTTTTCTTTGCTAATTATTTATTTTAATGTTAGAAGCCTTTTAAAAAATTTTAAAAGATCGAAGTCGGGGAAATTATTAATTTTGATTTTTTACACAGATTTTCGAAAAATCCATATATTATTTAAACAAAATTATTATTTCCTCACCTCATAAGCAATTTTTTCTTTTACAAATTATTTATTTTAATGTGACAAGTCATTTAAAAAAATTGTAAGAGGATCTAAGGAAGGCAAGGAAATTAGTGATTTTTAATTATTTTTTCGTAGATTTTCCAAATATCCCGAAATTTTAACTAAATTATTATTTCCTTGCTTCAGAAGCAATTTTTTTCGATTGCAATTTTTTAAAGGGCTTCTTACATTAAAAAACAATTAGCAAAAGAAAAAATTTTCATTGCATAAAAGTTGGTAGCTTCAGTTTCATAACATTTTGGGGTTTCTAAAATGTATTAATTTAAAAATTATTTAAAGGAAGATAGAGACCAAAAGAAACTAAAATTTAGAAATGCCATATTGATTTCAATTGTAAGCACTAAATTTAAAATCAAAAAGTTGTATGTCAACTTGAAAACTTGAAATTTTTACGACTCAAATACAAAAAATAGAGCTTTTAGTATCAGGCTTTATAAAATTCCCTGACAATTCCAGATTTTTCAGGTTTTCCATGACTGAAAAAAAATTCCATGACAATTCCGGGTTTCCCAGGTTTTCCAGGTCCGTGGCAACCCTGTATTTGTTTGGCAGACATCAACAATAATTTTTTAAATGGATAATCAGTGAAAAATGACTTATATTTCTGTAAGTTAGTGTTTCACTTCGATCTGAGAATTTCATTTTTTCGAGCGATTATTTGGTTATCGTCTTTGGTTTTCAAACGATCATCTTGTTTATTCTTTTGTTAATTGTCAAATCGTATCGTCTATTTTTCTAATTGTCATCGACCGAACTTCTCGACTGCTTCTCGACTTTCCCATAACTGACAACTAAAAATAATACAATAATAACCTATTTTTTGAAAAAAAATCGATATCCAAAAACATTTAAATTCTTTTTTATTAATTCTATTAAAAACTAAAATTAAATTCATTTTAGTGAATTAAAATTATTATATCAAGTTAAAAATTAATTCAAGGTGTCTAGTGAATTATTATTTTTAAATTCCCAGACCAAAAATAAATATTCCCGGATTGATTTTTTAAAACAGCAATAACTATAAAATTTAAATATTAATACTTTTAATAAAGAAATTTTTAAGAAAATCAATTTTAAAAAGTCAATAGACATCTTTATTTAGAGAAATATATATAATATTACTTGTTATATATTACTTAATAAATCTATAACATTGTAATAGTTGGATCTAAATTTAAAATTAACCTACTTTTTTATTTTTCTATTAGTTGGGCTTTTTTGCGGAGTATTATTATTATTTTTAATTGTGTATTTAAATAATAAAAATTAAAAATAATTATTTTTAATTTTTATTATTAAAAAAAAAAAGTTGTCTGTTCATTAAACAAGACCTACATGTCTTATAATATATTGGCCCCCTGAATACGAATATGAAGTCAGAATTGCTCCATCACCCTCTGTTTTCTTTTAAATCGAAAAAACTACCCTTAAGTCTAAAATTCAAGAATTAAAGTAAAAAAAAATAAAAACACGGTTTTCTTCGGAGTAGAAGAATATATTTATGCGTTTTCTTCTTTTAAAAACTCAGAAATAATGTCAAAATTGCTCCACCACCCCTGTTTTTTTTAAATCGAAGAAACTACCCTTAAATCTAAAATTCAAGAACTAAAGTAAAAAAAATGAAATAACCGGTTTTCTTCGGAGTAGAAGAATATATTTATGCGTTTTTTTCTTTCAACAACTCAGAAATAATGTCAAAATTGCTCCACCACCCCTACTTTTTTTTAAATCGAAGAAAGTACCCTTAAATCTAAAATTCAAGAACTAAAGTGAAAAAAAATGAAATAACCGGTTTTCTTCGGAGTAGAAGAATATATTTATGAGTTTTCTTCTTTCAACAACAAATAATGATAAATTAACTCTGATTCTGCTTTTTAGTTATGAGAACAAAAATAAAGGAACGTATGCTTTTGTCTAAAACTAATTGTTTTTATTGTTGTTAGTATACTCTGGGTTCATACTTAAAGGGGTAGTTTTTTCAATATAAATCAATAAGAGGGTGATGAAGCAATGCTGATGCTTTTTTAAAAAGTACATAAATATATTCTTCTACTTTGGAAAAAACCTGTTATATCATTTTTTACTATAATTCTTGAATTTTAGATGTAAGGGCAGGGGGTGATGGAGCAATTTCGTCATTATTTCTAAATTGTTGAAAGAAAAAAACGCATAAATATATTTTTCGACTTCGCAAAAAAACTGGTTATTTCATTCTTTGACTTTAGTTCTTGAATTTTAGATTTAAGGGTAGTTTCTCACATTTAAAAGAAACAGGGGTGGTGGAGCAATTTTGACATTATTTCTGAGAGGTTAAAGGAAGAAAACGCATAAATATATTCTTCTACTCCTAAGAAAACCGGTTATTTCATATTTTTTTTACTTTAGTTCTTGAATTTTAGATTTAAGGGTAGTTTCTCCCATTTAAAAAAACAGGGGTGGTGGAGCAATTTTGACAATATTTCTGAGTGGTTGAAGGAAGAAAACGCATAAATATATTCTTCTACTTCGCAAAAAAGTGGTTATTTCATTCTTTGACTTTAGTTCTTGAATTTTAGATTTAAGGGTAGTTTCTCCCATTTAAAAAAACAGGGGTGGTGGAGCAATTTTGACATTATTTGAGTTGTTGAAAGAAGAAAACGCATAAATATATTCTTCTACTCCGAAGAAAGCCGTGTTTTTATTTTTTTTTACTTTAATTCTTGAATTTTAGACTTAAGGGTAGTTTTTTCGATTTAAAAAAAACAGAGGGTGCTGGAGCAATTCTGACTTCATATTCGTATTCAGGGGGCCAAAATACTATAAGACATGTAGGTCTTGTTCAATGAACAGACAACTTTTTTTTTGTGTGCCTGTGATTGTAATCATGCCTAAATTAAAAAAATTTAACATTTTTAGGTATAAAATAATTTTTTAATAAACATTAATAAAAATTTAGTTTTCTAAACATTATTCAAAAGTAGACGAAAGAACAAAGTTTTGTCCTCTTGATGTAATTTTTCTAAATTCAATAGATTAAGTTATAGATAATTAAAAATAAGTATACTTAGATTTCTTTGAATAATTTTTTAACATAATTAAATTTTTTAAATATGTCTACAATAGAAACCTTTTTGAATAGTTGAAATTGTGCTAAATTTAATTGAAAATAATTAATTTATTTCAAGTATTTTGTTACAATTTTTTGAAGAATTTTAATTGCAAATTTTGAAAATAATTGAATTACCAAAAATTTAAAAAAAATTTTTAAAGGTAAGTTAGGATATAAGAATTATTTTAAGAAATTCAATTATTTTCGAAAAATAACATTATAATATTTTTAAAAACTAATATTATTAGAATTTTTTTATAGTAATTTTTTAAGATTTAATTATCTTCGAATAATGTAAATAAACATTTATGAAAATTTACTTCAATAAGACGAGCGAACATGACAGCTTGGTTATCAAAACAAAAAGAAAATCGTTTTTTGTTCGTTTCTCGGATCGTGTTGCTCGAATGAAACACTACTGTAAGTGTAATTTTCAACTGACTTTTAGTAAAATTATTTGTTTGACAGAAATTTACAATATTAATAAATAAATCACAATAAAATAATAATCAGTGAAGAATGACTGATATTTTAGTACTTTTCAACTGATTTTCAGTAAAATTCCCCTGATTATGAATCCAAAGTCACTTTTTAAAAATACAAAATGGCGAATCCAGGATAGCGGACGAAAATGAAAGATTTAGTAAGAGAATACGTAAAAATAACATTTCGTATAATGTACAATGACATTTTTTGTAAATGTCACTTCATAATTTTTGTCTTATTACACAATGATTTTAAATAAAATAATTTATATTTTTATAAATATTAATAATTTTTTACATTTTCTAACCACTATAAGGTTTTAATTTTGTAAATGTTCAAATTCTGGTTTAGAAAGAAAAATTTATATTATTATACAACTATATTGTCTAGACTTGCAAAAACCCAAAGTCTAGACTTTGTTGTAACAATATTGTTACAATATATATTGTAACAATATTGGTGACGGTGACATGCGTAAGAATAGTGCAGTAAAAATTTCAAAAAAACACCCTGATCATTACCTACAGAAAATCCTATTAGTAAGAAAAGAATGGACGTATCTTCGCCCTTTTCTTACTAATTATTCAGAGAATCAGGCTAACATTCAAAATCTAACCTTCTAAGTTTAGTTATTTCAAAAAAAATTATTTTATTGATGCAAATAAATATTTATTTTAATTAAAAACTATGCATTATTTAATCAAGTAATTTTTATAATTGATTTAAAGCAATATTTATTAAATTAAATTATTCTATTTAATTGACTTAAGTAATTTGTATTTGGTTCAAATAACTATTTAATAGATACCATAAATTAAAATATTTATGTCCAGTAAATATTTACTTAGTTCAAATAAAAAAAAAAAAAATAAGTAAAAACTAATAAGTTTAAATACAACCGAACGAGCGTTAGCGAGTGAGGTATATGTTGCTAGTAAGAGATTATTTTTGAGAAAAAAAGGAGTTTTTTGTCAGAATTTATATTTTACACTTTTTTATAAATATAACAAACAAATTTAAAAATTGAAATTTTTAAAAGAGAAGTTTACTTACAATTTAGAATTTTTATGTTCCATGAAGTTCGTAATGTTCAAATTAATAAAATTTATTTATTTCCTTTTCAAATTAAATTTTTATTACGTTTAGAATTTTTATGATCCTAAAGTTTGGAACTTTCGAATAAAGAAAATTTATTTACTTCTTTTTGAAATTAAATTCAAATTACGTCATAATAGTCACTATTACGTCAGTATAAAAAAATTAATTGAAAAGTTTCTAAATGTAAAATTTAAGTTTTTAATTTTTATTTCAATCTGTAATTTACGAAAACATTTTTGATTAAAAAATATATCGTTCATTTGGATGTTCCAAACTTGTAAAAATAATTATTAATAATACAAAAAAACATTATATTAAAGTAATAAATTATTTATTATTACCTATTATTCGATAATATTATTTTAATTTTAATTTTTTGTTTATTTTTATTTTCATTTTTATTTATTGTTTAATATCAATTATTAATTAATCAAAATTAAAGTTGAAAATTTTTTTTATATGGTGGTATTATTTTTGTATTATTATATTATATTAAATAATAATATAGCAGTGCTCGTTTTGCTATAAAATTTCTCTTACAAAATAACTAAAGTTACTTAAAAAAGAAATTTAAGTTGAGAAAAGATATATTCAGTATGTTGGACGGGATTGAATTAAATGACAAAATATTATAAAATACGTCTCTGCTAGTATGCAAATTGCAACCCTTTCGAGATGTTGAGAAATAAATAATGAGCGTTTCACTGTAAATTGTAAATTGTTGAAATTGCGACAAAACTATATTATCCATTTTTTTCATTACTGTATTATCCGCCAGTTAGAATTTTATATCTTATTAATGTATCGCTATCATTATTCTTTAAATATTCCATAAGCCAAGGTGGAATAATACGTAGGGTTTTTGCTCCACACGAGAGCTATAGACTGAAAAATTTAAATGTCAGTCTTCGTTTAACTTCCAATCACTAGAGACAAAATATTATACTTTCAAGTCAAAATAACTTTTCTCAATTTTTTCATTACAATTATTATTATTTTATTTATTAACTAAATAAATTTATTTAAAATGAAAAGAAATTTCTGTTGAACTAAAGACATTTATTTTGAAATGAAAAAATTTTTCTTGAAATAATGAAATTTCTGATGAATTTAAGAAATTCATTTTCAAGTAAATAAATAAATTATTACTACCATACATATAATTAGCAAAATTAAAAAAATAAAAGAGTAATGAAAGAAAAATGAAAGAGAATAAAAGAAAAATGAAAGAAAAATAAAAGAAAAAGAAAAAAACAGAAAAGAAAAAAGAATGAAATACATTAATTTGATGGAAATAATGAAAAATTTAAATAATGTATAAAGCAGAGATATCGATAAAACTTTTTACAATTACTGGCGCATGGAGACCAAATGAATTGTCAAATTATTTTTTAATCTTTCTCTACAAAATTTATACTCTCATCGCAATTTTACTCATTTATTCATTTGAAATTTCATTATTAATGTATTTAATTTTACACACATTAAATGATATCGATGAATTTTCCGAGACATTATGTTGGGTTATTTCGACAATTGTCGTTTGTTTGAAAATGACAAATATCATTTTACGAAGAAACGATATTATAGATTTACTGGAAATTTTGAATAAAAATTCTTTTCAACCTCGTAATATTGATGAAAAAAATAGACAGGAGAAATTTGATTTTACATCAAGGTAGGCAATAATTTTATATAATTTGTCAAAAAAAAGAAAAAAAAAATACTGTGCATAATAATTTTTTCTGTTCTTTTTTCTCATTCAGAGAAATTTATTCTTTACCTGCTGGAAAATTTTAATTAAAATAATATATTTATTTATTTATTTCTATTCATTAGTAGGTATATTTCTATTTAATTAGTCAGTTTTTATTTAACGTATAAATAAATTTTAACCTTACAACAAATAAAAAAGTGTGAAAAATAACTTAATTTGAAATCAAGTGGTAGAAACAAATTCTAGTCAGACAATATGTATATCAAAAAAATTAATTCAATTTTAAAATAAGTAGTAGACGCGTATTTTGGTCAGACAATATTGGGAAAGTTAAATAAATTTTAAAAATAAGTAGTAGAAACAGATTTTAGTCACACGAAAATGTGAAAATTAACTGAATCTTAAAAAAAAATGGTATAAACAAATTGTAGTTAGACGAATCTGTAAAAATTCAGAATATGTAGTAGAAACAAATTTAAGTCAGACTAAATTAAATAAATAAATTCACTTTTTAAAAAATAAACTAATAAGTAAATGTTAATTCAGTAAATGTTTAAATTAACGTCAATAATATTTTATAAACATAATTATAAAATATTAAATTAAAATTTACTTAATTTACTAAAAATAAATATTTTTTCACTCAAAGGGGCCGTCCATAAATTACGTAAGACATTTAGGTGGGAGGGGTGGGAGTCATCAAGATCTGACGAACAATAGAAAAAATGGCGCTAATGTATGTAAAATATCTTACAAGGGAGAGGGGGGTGGGGGGGTTAAATTTTCCAAAAAAAATATCTTACGTAATTTATAGACAGCCCCAAAGTTCTATAACTTATATTAAAGCCTGCTAGCATGAAAAGATTGTTAATATAATAAAATATAGAGAATAAATTATAACTTAGAACATAAAATAATAAAAATAAAAATATAAAACAAAATGAGATAAATTATAAATAAGAAATTTTATTATAAAAAAAAATTCAAATACTGAATTAGAGTCTAAAATTATTAAATTATTATTTTCATTATTAATATTAAATTTAAATTTGTATATTTAGTGATATATTCAAATTATTATTATTATATTATTGAAATAAATAAATCAAAAAATACATTTTTTCTTATTTCTTATTACATTGTTTAGGATTGTAAAAAAAATGAAATAATTTATTTATTTATCCAGAGTACATGAAGTAATGAAAATTTTTCTTTCGCAGAAAATACACAAAATTCTTTTTCATAATAATTTTTTCCACAACAGTGGCTTTGACAATTGGAGGAGTAATGAAGGGAAATAATGCCAATTTGCCATTTAAGGCGTCATATCCATTCGATGAAAAGCGTGTGGAAACATTTTGGACATTATACATTATTCAGTGTTTAAATATTTACAGTAGTGGTTGTGTGACAGTTGGATTTGAAACATTGATCATGGTGTTGATAATTCAAATTTGCTCTCAACTAGATATAATTTATCATCGTCTTCAAACTCTACCGGATTTACATAATAAATTTAGTGAAAAATCAATTTTTTTCCTTGAAAGAAAAGAAGCAGAAATTATTAAGGAATGCGTTTTACATCATAATTATATTTACATGTGTGTGTTTTTATTTTATTTTAGTAAAATTGAAATTATTAAAATAGTTTAAAATAATTCAATTATTTAGAATTATTTGGAAAGATAATTCAATACTTGAAATGAATTTTATTAAAAATTTTGAAAATAATTAAATTTAAAAATTTAAATTTTGTAAAAATTGCAGGTTCAGCGATAAGTTGAATGACATTTTCAGCGTTGTATTTGGTGCTCAATTCTTTGGATCAATTATAAATATTTGCACTCTCGTTTATAGTTTAACAACTAGAAAGGAATTGAATGACAAATTTTTTGTTCACGGTTTATTATTACAAAATTTATTATTTCAAATATTCATCTATTGTTACGCGGGAAATGAAGTAATGCTGAAAGTATGTACAATGACAAATTATGGAAAAAAATTATTTTAACAATTTTTTTATTTTTGTTTGTTTGTTTTTTACTGCTTGTAAATAATAAAACAATTTTTTTGCAGAAAGCGTAAGGAAATATTTAATAATTTTTTTTCTTCGAAAAGAATACATTACAAAAGAATAAAAAAGAAGTTTATTTTCTTTTATTATTATGATAAACATAATAAATAAATAAAAATATAAATTTAAAAAAAATTTTAAAAATGAATAAAAACAAATATAAATTAATATATAAATTAATAAATAAGTAATGAATATAATTTCTTAATCATTTAATTATTTAATATTATTGAATTTATCACTTGGTGAAATTATATTAATATATATAAGAAGTTATCAATCCTCCAAGTCAATCAATAAGTCAATCAAATTGATTGACTTGGAGGATTGATAACTTCTTATATATATATTCATTTAATTATTTATTTCTTATTAATTTATTTATTTTCTTATTAGCTAAACTGAAAAAAATTTACTTGATTCAAATATAGTGAAATTATTATTTTAAATTTGAATTCATAAAAAATATTTTATTTACTTAGAATAAAAATTTCGTATTCAAGTAAATATTTATTTGTGAAAAATAGTCGGTTCTTTGAATGAAATAATTTTTTTCAGTAACTTTACTATTCTTATTATTTCGCAACTTTGTGTCAAAAATTAATTTGAAATATGTATTTTTTTAATTAGAGTTTAAAAGTAGCGGACATTATTGACACTGTAGATTGGACAATGCTAACAAAGAAAACAAAAGAAGGACTCGTTTTAATAGCAGCAAGATCAAAAAAGCCGATTGTCATTACTGGCGGTCCTATGATTTCCATGACATTGAATACTTTTGTTACAGTACGATTTTCTCATCCTTTTTTTCAAAATAAAAAAATTATTTTCTCTTATTTAATTCAATAAAATTTTGAATTTTTCATTTGTCATCAGATAATTATATCTAAAATTTTCCGTAAATTCGTTTTTTTTATAATAATTATCAATAGTTATATGTTAAAGTTATTTTTATTATTAAAAAGTATTCAAAATATTTTTTAAACAAATTGAAAAGGCGAATAAAAGAAAGTAATTAATTTTTTTAAATAATAATTCCTAATAGTATTAAAATTATTTTTATAATTAAAAAATATTAAAAATATTCTTCAAACAAAAAAAGGAAAATAAAAATTTAATTATTTTTTATTAACAGATTATGAGAACATCTTATGCTGCGTACAACTTACTGCAGAGTTCTGGTGCCTAACATTTAAAATAAAGATAAACAATAAGATTATTATTAATTAAAAAAATAGATACCTAATGTAAAAAACAATTTAACAAAGTTTAAATGTTAAAATTTATTCCCTCTTAATATTAAATAAATTTTTCTCTGGTGACGAGAGATTTTTTTTAAGTATTAAATTATTTATTTTCATAAGGTTTATTAAATTTTTTGATTTACAGTTTAAAAAATATTGGAGAAATTACTTTAGAAAAAAAAGAGAAATAAGAGATTATTTTTGAGAAAAAAAGGAGTTTTTTTGTCAGAATTTATATTTTATACTTTTTTATAAATATAACAAACAAATTTAAAAATTGAAAGTTTTAAAAGAGAAGTTTACTTACAATTTAGAATTTTTATGTTCCATGAAGTTCGTAATGTTCAAATGAATAAAATTTATTTATTTCTTTTTCAAATTAAATTTTTATTACGTTTAGAATTTTTATGATTCTAAAGTTTGGAACGTTCAAATAAAGAAAATTTATTTACTTCTTTTTGAAATTAAATTCAAATTACGTCATAATAGTCACTATTACGTCAGTATAAAAAAATTAATTGAAAAGTTTCTAAATGTAAAATTTAAGTTTTTAATTTTTATTTCAATCCGTAATTTACGAAAACATTTTTGATTAAAAAATATATCGTTCATTTGGATGTTCCAAACTTGTAAAAATAATTATTAATAATACAAAAAAACATTATATTGAAGTAATAAATTATTTATTATTACCTATTATTCGATAATATTATTTTAATTTTAATTTTTTGTTTATTTTTATTTTCATTTATTATTTAATATCAATTATTAATTAATCAAAATTAAAGTTGAAAATTTTTTTTATATGGTGGTATTATTTTTGTATTATTATATTATATTAAATAATAATATAGCAGTGCTCGTTTTGCTATAAAATTTCTCTTACAAAATAACTAAAGTTACTTAAAAAAGAAATTTAAGTTGAGAAAAGATATATTCAGTATGTTGGACAAGATTGAATTAAATGACAAAATATTATAAAATACGTCTCTGCTAGTATGCAAATTGCAACCCTTTCGAGATGTTGAGAAATAAATAATGAGCGTTTCACTGTAAAATGTTGAATTTGCGACAAAACTGTATTATCCATTTTTTTCATTACTGTATTATCCGCCAGTTAGAATTTTATATCTTATTAATGTATCGCTATCATTATTCTTTTAATATTCCATAAGCCAAGGTGGAATAATACGTAGGGTTTTTGCTCCACACGAGAGCTATAGACTGAAAAATTTAAATGTCAGTCTTCGTTTAACTTCCAATCACTAGAGACAAAATATTATACGTTTAAGTCGAAATAACTTTTCTCAATTTTTTCATTACAATTATTATTATTTTATTTATTAAGTAAATACATTTATTTTGTCAAAAAGGAATTACTTTTGCAATAAAGAAATTTATTTTGAAATTAAGAGATTTAATTTGAAACAAAGAAATTCTTTTTGAAATTAAAAAATTTATTTTCAAGTAAATAAATAAATTATTACTACCATACTTAAAAATTAGCATAATTAAAAAAATTAAAAAAAAGTAAAAAAAAATGAGAGAAAAATAAAAGAAAAATAAAAGAAAAATAAAAGAATGAAATACATTAATTTTATGGAAATAATGAAAAATTCAAACAATGTATAAGGCAGAGATTTCGATAAAACTTTTTACAATTGCTGGCGCATGGAGACCAAATGAATTGTCAAATTATTTCTTAATCTTTCTCTACAAAATTTATACTCTCATCGCAATTTTTCTTATTTATTCCTTTGAATTTTCATTATTAATGCATTTAATTTTACACGCATTAAATGATATCGATGAATTTTCCGAGGCTTTATGTTGGGTTATTTCGACAATTGTCGTTTGTGTGAAAATGACAAATATCTTTTTACGAAGAAACGATATTATAGATTTACTGGAAATTTTGAATAAAAATTCTTTTCAACCTCGTAATATTGATGAAAAAAATAGACAAGAGAAATTTGATTTTACATCAAGGTAGGCAATAATTTTATATAATTTGTCAAAAAAAGAAATACTGTGCATAAAATTTTTTCTGTTCTTTTTTCTCATTGAGAGAAATTTATTTTTTACTTGCTGGAAAATTTTAAATGAAATAATATATTTATTTATTTCTATTTTATTAGTATATTTCTATTTCATTAGTCAGTTTTTATTTAACGTATAAATAAATTTTAACCTTACAACAAATAAAAAAGTGTGAAAAATAACTTAATTTGAAATCAAGTGGTAGAAACAAATTCTAGTCAGACAATATGTATATCAAAAAAATTAATTCAATTTTAAAATAAGTAGTAGACGCGTATTTTGGTCAGACAAAACTGTGAAAATTAAATTATTTATAAAAATAAGTAGTAGAAACAGATTTCACTCAGACAAAAAGTAAAAATTAAAATAACTTTCAATATAAGTAGTAGAAACAAATTTAAGTCGGACTAAAGTGTAGAAAGTAACTAAATTTGTAAACAAGTGGTGGAAACAATTTTTAGTCAGACAAAACGGAAAATTAAATTATTTTTAAAAATAAGTAATATAAACAGATTTTATTCAGACAAAACTGTAAAAAGTAACTCAATCTGAAAACAAATGCCAGAAACAAATTGTTGTCAGATGAAACTAAATTAATAAATAAATTCACTTTTTAAAAAGTAAACTAATAAGTAAATTTTAATGCAATAAATGTTTAAATTAACTTCAATAATATTTTATAAACATAATTATAAAATATTAAATTAAAATTGACTTAATTTACTAAAAATAAATTTTTTTTTTTTTCCACTCAAAGTTCTATAATGTATCTTAAAGCCTGCTAGCATAAAACAATTGTTAATATAATAAAATATAGAAAATAAATTATAACTTAGAACATAAAATAATAAAAATAAAAATATAAAACAAAAAGAGCTAATTGTAAATAAAGAATTTTATTATAAAAAAAAATTCAAAAAATCTAAAATTATTAAATTATTATTTTTATTATTAATATTAAATTTAAATTTGTATATTCAGCGATATATTCAGATTATTTTTAATATTATATTATCGAAATAAATAAATAAACAATAAAATTAATTAAAAACAATAAAATATAACAAAAATGTATTTTCAATTTTTTATATATTAATTTTTCAATAATTTTATTTTTTATTATTATTACTATTCTTTATGAGTGTAAAAATATGAAATAATTTATTTATTTATCCAGAGTACATGAAATAATGCAAATTTTTCTTTTGCAGAAAATACACAAAATTCTTTTTTATAATAATTTTTTCGACAATAGTGGCTCTGACAATTGGAGGACTAACGAAGGGAAATAATGCCAATTTGCCATTTAAGGCGTCATATCCATTCGATGAAAAGCGTGTGGAAACATTTTGGACATTATACATTATCCAGTGTTTAAGTATTTACAGTGGTGGTTGTCTGACTATTGGATTTGAAACATTGGTGATTGTGTTGATAATTCAAATTTGCTCTCAACTAGATATAATATATCATCGTCTTCAAACCCTACCGGATTTACATAATAAATCTAGTGAAAAATCAACTCTTTTCCTTGAAACAGAAGAAGCAGAAATTTTAAAGGAATGCGTTTTACATCATAATTATATTTACATGTGTGTGTTTTTATTTTATTTTAGTAAAATTGAAATTATTCAAGGAGAATAAAACGAAAACATTCGGACAAATAGTTTTTAAAAAATTCGTTTACTCCAACGTTTCTAAATCTAAATGATTTCCTCTTCAGGGAGTTAAAAAAATTATTGAAATTTTTAAAAATAATTTAATTATTTAGAATTATTTGGAAAAATAATTAAATTCTTGAAAGGAATTTTATTAAAATTTTTGAAAATAATTGAATTTCTGGAAAGAAATTTATTACCTATTTATAAAGATAATTGAATTCCTGAGAAAAATTTTATTAGAAAAGTTTTAAAAATAACTGAATTTTTTTGAAGAATTTCATTGCAATTTTTAAAAATAATTGAAAATTCTATTAAGAAATTTTATTAAAATTGTATTAAAAATAATTTAATTCTTCGAATGAAATTTATAACCTTATGAAAATAATTGTTTCGAAGAATTTTCATAAAACTTTTAATAATAATCAATTTCTTTCAAGAAATTTAATTAAAAATGTACCCATCAAAAAAAAGTAATTAAATTCCAGCATAAAATAGTTTCAAAGAATTTTATTAATATTTTTGAAGAAAATTGAATTGGTTTGAAGAATTTTATTGTATTTTATTTTAATAATTTAATCTTGATGAGATTTTTAATAAAAATTATATTGAAAATAATTGAATTCTTGACAAAAAAAATGTTAATATTTATTTTTTTTCCCAATGAAATCTAAAAATTTAAATTTTGTAAAAATTGCAGGTTCAGCGATAAGTTGAATGACATTTTCAGCGTTGTATTTGGTGCTCAATTCTTTGGATCAATTATAAATATTTGCACTCTTGTTTATAGTTTAACAACTAGAAAGGAATTGAATGATAAATTTTTTGCTCACGGTTTATTATTACAAAGTTTATTATTTCAAATATTTATCTATTGTTACGCGGGAAATGAAGTAATGCTGAAAGTATGTACAATGACAAATTATGGAAAAAAAATTATTTTAACAATTTTTTTATTTTTGTTTGTTTGTTTTTTACTGCTTGTAAATAATAAAACAATTTTTTTGCAGAAAGCGTAAGGAAATATTTAATAATTTTTTTTCTTCGAAAAGAATACATTACAAAAGAATAAAAAAGAAATTTATTTTATTTCATTATTATAATAAATATAATAAATAAATAAAAATATAAATTTAAAAAAAAAAATTCTAAAAAAGAATAAAAATAAATTTAAATTCATATATAAATTAATAAATAAGTAATGAATTTAATTTCTTAATCATTTAATTATTTATTTCTTATTAATTTATTTATTTTCTTATTAGCTAAACTGAAAAAAATTTATTTGATTCAAATATAGTGAAATTATTATTTTAAATTTGAATTCATAAAAATTATTTTATTTATTAAGAATAAACATTTCGTATTCAAGTAAATATTTATTTGTGAAAAATAGTCTGTTATTTGAATAAAATAATTTTTTTCTGTGTAGGTTTACTATTCTTATTATTTCGCAACTAAAATTTTGTGTCAAAAATTAATTTGAAATATGTATTTTTTTAATTAGAGTTTAAAAGTAGCGGACATTATTGACACTGTAGATTGGACAATGCTAACAAAGAAAACAAAAGAAGGACTCGTTTTAATAGCAGCAAGATCAAAAAAGCCGATTTTCATTTCTGGCGGTCCTATGATTTCCATGACATTGACTTCTTTTGTTACAGTACGATTTTCTCGTCCATTTTCAAATTAAAAAATTTATTTTCTCTTATTTAATTTAATAAAATTTTGAATTTCTCGTTCGTCATCAAATAATTTTGAATCTATTATTATTTCTATAATTTTCCATAATTTTTTTTTTTTATAATAATTCCTAATAATTTTATTAAAATTATTGTTATTATTAAAATTATTTTTATTATTAGAAAATATTGAAAATATTTTTTCTAACAAAAGAAGGAGAATAAAAATATGATTTATTATTGACAGATTATGAGGACATCTTATGCTGCGTACAACTTACTTCAAAGTTCTGATGCAACGGTCTAAAAATGGAGAAAAGCAAAAAGATTATTATTAATTAAAAAAATAAATACCTAATGTAAAAAACAATTTAACAAAGTTTAACTGTTAACATTTATACTCTCTTAATATGAAATAAATTTCTCTCTGGTGACGAGAGATTTTTTTTAATTTTAAATTATTTATTTTCATTAAGTTTATTAAATTTATTGATTTACAGTTTAGAAAATATTAGAGAAATCTCTCTTTAGAAAAAAAGAGAAATAAGAGATTATTTTTGAGAAAAAAAAAGAGTTTTTTTGTCAGAATTTATTTTTTACACTTTTTTTATAAATATAACAAACAAATTTAAAAATTGAAAGTTTTAAAAGAGAAGTTTACTTACAATTTAGAATTTTTATGTTCCATAAAGTTCGTAATGTTCAAATGAATAAAATTTATTTATTTCTTTTTTAAATTATATTTTTATTACGTTTATAATTTTTATGATCATAAATTCATTTTCATTTATTATTTATTATCGGTTATTATTACTAATAATAATCCATTTATTGTATTTTAATACAATTATAATTATTATAAAAGAAAATTATCCATAGAAAAATTATTTTAGTTTAAATTTCCAGTATCACAAACTCAAACTTTTTATACAATTTCTCAGAAATAATATTCTCTCTAAGTATTTCTCAACACACATCTTAAAAAAATTCCCCTATTATTGAATAATAAGTTATGCACCACTAAACTGCAAAATGAAAGAGAGAAAATGTCTCTTCGCTTGTTAAAAGTTTTTAAATGCAAATTACTGTTGGAAATTATTCAAGACATTCTATAACGACAGTGTTTCCATTATTTTGTGAAATTATTGCAACAACTCGACGATTAAGAATTCCTTGAAATAAAATGAAATGAAAATGATATCGAAGATATACTATATTAGAATATGAAATTATTAATGAAGGGGAGAGAAAATGCGACGCGTTTGCGGAAAACAACTTTACTACATTACATAGTCAATGGAACATAGTTGTACCACACTTTTAAGTAAGTCAAGTTCCATGAAACATATTCTTGTATATGAAAAAATACTATTCGCTCAAATCTTTCAATTTTTATTGGCGTTACGACAAAAAAGTTTTCACTTTCAATTTTGTGTCGAGTTTTCTTTTTTTTAAGTTAAAATTTTTATTATTATTATTTTTATTATTTTTATTATTGTTATTATTATTATTACTACTACTTTTGTTACCGTTGTATTATAATTATTATAATTATTACAATTAGTATAATTTTTATTATTATTATTATTATTATTATTATTATTATTATTATTATTATTATAATTATTATTATTATTAATATTTTATTATTACTATTATTATTAAATTTATATTATTATTAACAATAATATTTTTTTCCATTTTCTTCTAAAATTTAGTTTTGCCTAGTTTTGATTTTATTCCGTTTCCATTTAGTTTTTATAATTATAATTTTTTTTTTTTTTTGAGGTACTTTTTAAGTATTTATTTAATATTTAGTTTCAGTAAAAATTAGAAATTTTGAAATTAGAATTTTTTTTACACAAATAAATAAATAAATATTTTTTTACATTGCATAATAATGTATAGAGCGGAACTTTCAATTATTGTTCTACAATATATGGGTATTTGGAGACCGAAATTTTCATCTAAAATATATTTGATATTATATAAAATATTCACTTGTTTCATTGTTCTTGTCACTTATTTTTTTACACTAACAACAATTATGTATTTGTTTCGTTACAATAATAATTTGGAGGAATTTACAGAAAATTTTTTCTATGCACTCGCATTGCTTTGCGCGTCAATTAAAATAGGCAATTTATTTATTAAACGAAATCAAATTATTGAATTAATTGATATGCTAATTGATGAGAAATTCAATCCACAAGATGATGCTGAAGTTAAAATTCAAACGAAATTCGACAAATTTTCAAGGTTTATTTATAAATATTTTTATATAAAATAATTAAATACTTTTTATATATATTTTTTTTCATTAGCTTATGTTCATTTTTTTGCTTTTTTTCAAATTAACAAAAGCATTTTTTTTCAATAAAAAGAAATTAATTTAGAAAAAATGACACATCGAAAATTAATTTTCTATCAAAATTGAGTAAGAAAAAAATAATTGTAAAAATTAATTTAGAATAAAATAGTTTTAAAAATTAATTTGGTAGAGATTATAAAATAGATTTGGAAAAAATTGGATATAGAAATTGATTAAGAAAAAAATAATTGTAGAAATTAATTTAGAATAAAATAGTTATAAAAATTAATTTGGTAGAGATTATAGAATAGATTTGGAAAAAATTGGATATAGAAATTGATTAAGAAAAAAATAATTATAGAAATTAATTTACAATAAAATAGTTTTAAAAATTAATTTGGTAGAGATTATAAAATAGATTTGGAAAAAATTATTATACAAATTTATTAAGATACAAAGAATTATAAAAATTAAATTAAAAATTAATTTTAAGAACAGCATTTAAAAAGAAATTAATTAATTTTTGGTGGCTATTTTCAAAATTAATTGAAATAAAGTAAATTCACGCTGAAATTTTTGAATAGAAATGGAACAATTATTTTTCTCGCTCTGGGTAGCACGACAATATTATTGAAAGCAATTGGACCTTTGATACAAAATAATAATGGAGTATTACCTTATAAGGCATGGATGCCTTGTGAAATTGAGAAAAGACTGTCATTTTGGATGATTTATGGACTTCAGACTATTGGCTCTTTTGGCGCTGGACAGACGACAATAGCAATTGATACATTTGCCATGACAATGATGCTGCAACTTTGTTCGCAATTGGAAATTTTAATGCATCGAATGCAAAAATATCCCTATCTCTCATTGGAGACAAAGATTTATGGCGATATTCGCCAAAAAAGAGAAAATAATATTGGTATGTGGGTGCAGCATCATCAATCCATGTACATGTGAGTGTTCATCCCACACTTTTTTTTCTAATCCATATTTTGTGATTAAAAATTTTTTTAAAGATTTTACACCAACCTCTGAAACAAAAAACAAAAAGAAAAATTAGATTTTATTATTTTTCGGTCAAAGATAAAAGGGTTAGAGTTATTTTTTGGTCGGCGGAAAAGGGTAAAAGTTATTTTCCGGTTAGAAAAAGAGGGTTAAAGTTATTTTCGGTCAGAAAAAGAAGGTTAAAATTATTTTTCGGTCAGAAAATGAGAGGAAAGTTAATAAATACTGAATATAAGTAGTAAACGTCGATTTTAGTCAGACGGAATTGTAAAAGTCATTATAAAACTTTTTTGCAAGTGGTTCTATTGTGCCCCAGTAGTAAAATACGTTTTTAGTCAGACAAAACTGTAAATATTAAATTTATTCAGAAATAAGTAGTGGAAACAAATTTTAGTCAGACAAAATTATAAAAATTAATTTTATTCAAGAATAAGTAGTAGAAGCAAATTTTAGTCAGACGAAACTGAAAAAATAAGTAAATTTGAAAACAAGTGGTAGAAATAAATTATTGTCAGACAAATCTGCAAAAAGTACCGAAATAAATTTCAGAATAAGTGGTAGAAGCAAATATTTAAATCAGACTAAATTAGACATTAATTAAATTTAAGAAGTAGTTGAAACGAATTTCAGTCAGACAAGATTGCAAACAAATTAATTCAATTTAAAAATAATTAGTAGAAACGTATTTCAGTCAGACGAAATTGTGAAACTTAAATTAATTTTTAAAAAATAAGTAGTAGAAACAGATTTTAGTCAGACTAAAAGTGAAAATTAAAATAATTTTCAAAATAAGTAGTAGAAACAAATTTTAGTCGGACCAAACTGTAGAAAGTAACTAAATTTGTAAACGAGTGGTATAAACAATTTTTTAGTCAGACAGAACTGTGAAAATTAAATTAATTTTAATAATAAGTAGTAGAAACAGATTTTTGTCAGACAAAACTGTGAAAATTAAAATAATTTTCAAAATAAGTATTAGAAACAGATTTTAGTCAAAAAAAAGTGAAAATTAAGAAAATTTTCAAAATAAGTAGCAGAAACAAATTTTAGTCAGACAAAAAGTAAAAATTAAAATAATTTTCAGAGTAAGTAGTAGAAACAAATTTTAGTCGGACAAAAAGTGAAAATTAAAATAACTTTCAAAATAAGTAGTGGAAACAAATTTTAGTCGGACTAAACTGCAGAAAGTAACTAAATTTGTAAACGAGTGGTATAAACAATTTTTAGTCAGACAAAACTTGAAAAATTAAATTTAATAACTAGTAGTAGAGACAAATTTTGTATTATTTAAAACTGATATTAAAATTTAATTTTGGAGCTAGTAGTAGAGACAAATTTTAGTCAAGCAAAATTACAATACTAAAAATTCAATTTCAAAATAAGTAAAAAGAAACAAATTTAAATCAGACCTAATTAGCAAAATTAATTAAAACTACAATGCAAGTAGTATAGATAATTTATAGTGCGACAAAGCTTAAAAATTAATTTAATTTAAAAAAAAGGAGTACGAGAAAATTTTAATCAGACAAAACTGTAAAAATTGACTATAAAAAAAAGTAGTAGAAGAAACAAATTTAAGTCAGACCAAACAATCAAAATTAAATTTTAAAATAAGTAGTATGCACAATTTATAGTCAGACTAAACTATAAAAATTAATTCAATTAAAAAATAAGTAGTAAAAGCAAATTAGAGTCCGACTAAACTCTAAAAATTTATTCAATTTTAAAATTCAAGTAGTGTAAACCAATTATAGTCAGACAAAACTATAGAAATTAATTCAATTTAATAATTCAAGTAGTATAGACAAATTATAGTCCGACAAAGCTAAAAATTAATTTAATTCAAAAAAAAGTAGTACGAGAAAATTTTAGTCAGACATAACTGTAAAAATTCACTTTAAAAATAAGTAGAAGAAACAAATTTAAGTCAAACGAACCATCAGAATTAAATTTCAAAATAAGTAGTAGATACAAATTATAGTCAGACTAATTCAATTTAATAATTCAAGTAGTATAGACAAATTATAGTCCGACAAAGCTAATAATTAATTACATTCAAGAAAAAGTAGTACGAGAAAATTTTAGTCAGACAAAACTGTAAAAATTCAACTTTAAAAATAAGTAGTAGATACAAATTATAATCAGACGAACCATCAGAATTAAATTTCAAAATAAGTAGTAGATAAAAATTATAGTCAGACTAAATAAATTTAATAATTCAAGTAGTATAGACAAATTATAGTCCGACAAAGATAAAAATTAATTTAATTTAGGAACAAGTAGTACGAGAAAATTTTAGTCAGACAAAACTGTAAAAATTCACTTTAAAAATAAGTAGTAGATACAAATTATAGTCAGACTAATTCAATTTAATAATTCAAGTAGTATAGACAAATTATAGTCCGACAAAGCTAAAAATTAATTTAATTTAAGAACAAGTAGTACGAGAAAATTTTAGTCAGACAAAACTGTAAAAATTCACTTTAAAAAAAAGTAGAAGAAACAAATTTAAGTCCAACGAACCATCAGAATTAAATTTCAAAATAAGTAGTAAATACAAATTATAGTCAGACTAAACTATAAAAATTAATTCAATGTAAAAATAAGTAGTAAAAACAAATTACAGTCCGACTAAACTCTAAAAATTAATTCAATTTAAAAATTTAAGTAATACAATCCAATTATAGTCAGACAATATCACAATAAACTATAAAAATTAGTTCAATTTAAAAATTTAAGTAGTAGAAATAAATTTTAGTCAGACAAAACTGTATCTAAAATAATTCCACCTCATTTAAAGTAGAACATATTATTAAGCACTTAATTTAAGTAATTTATATTCACGATTTTAGCAAATTTGTTTTAAATAAATGTACACAAAAAGAATAAAATTTTTTGATTTTTACAGATTTGGAGAAAAATTCAACGACATCTACTGGTTTGTATTTCTCTTTCAAGTCCTCGTAACAACAATGGACGTTTGTACAAGTTCTTATTTACTGGCAACAATAAAAGTAACTTCCGAACAATTTTGGACAATGATTTTTTCACTATTGAGTATTCTTTTTCAAATCTCCATATACTGTTGGCATGGAAATATGGTAATAGAAAAGGTAATCAAAATAATTACAATACTACAAAGAAAATTAAGAAATAATTATAATCACCCACTAAATTTGAATTAATAAAAATGTTTACTTATTTGAATTAGTGACTGACTGTTTGCATTTTAATTAGTAAATTTTACTAATAAATAGTAAAATTTTTACTATTAAAAATAAAACCTTAAATTTGTAAACGAGTGGTATAAACAATTTTTAGTCAGACAAAACTGTGAAAATTAAATTAATTTTAATAATAAGTAGTAGAAATAGATTTTTGTCAGACAAAACTGTGAAAATTAAAATAATTTTCAAAATAAGTATTAGAAACAGATTTAGTCAGACAAAAAGTGAAAATTAAAATAATTTTCAAAATAAGTAGTAGAAACAAATTTTTTTTTTTTTTTTTTTTTGATTTCTATTTATTATACTAATTTTACTAAATTTTTAGTAATCCAAATTTAAAGAGTACAACAAAAACAAAAATAATAATAATGAGACAAAGGAAATTGAAAAAATTCTTTTAATATAAAATTACCTTTTTCTGTATTATTATGAAAATAGATGTAATTATTTACGTTTGTAAATATTTTTTTAGAGCAAAGATATCGGCAATGCAGTGTACATGTCAAATTGGATTTTATTATCAAATAAATCGAGAACAAATTTAATACAAATAATTAGACGTTGCTCAAAACCAATAATCTTTAATGCCGGATGGTTTGCACCAATGTCTATTGATACTTTCGCAATGGTTCGTTGATTTTCTATATTAAAAAAAAATCTATACAAAAAAAGTAAATTTTTAATTCTGATTTTTTTTCATTCTTTTGTTTATTTAGATTTGAATTCAATTGAATTATATTTGAAAATTTAATTTTCTGCAATTTAATTAATTATGATTATTATACATTATTAATGATTAAATTTTTATTAATTATGATATTAATTATCTTGTTATAATTATTATTGTATATTTCCAGTTTTTCTAAGAATATATTTTGGAATGTAATCAAAAGTGTAGTGTAATTTTTATACTTTTTTTTATCAATTTGATATCTTTAGAAAAAGTGTGATTTTAATTAAAAATAAATTTTGTTTCACTATTTTCAATGATTTTGCAAATTTTCTTTTCTTTTTAAATTCTAGATTCTTCGACTATCATATTCAGTGTACAGTTTACTGATATAATTTCCATCTGAATTTTAAGGAAAATCAGTTTTTGAAATTACGAACAAATCCACTAAAGAAGGAAAAAATTTCTTTCGCCTTCTTTACAGGAGAATTTTTCTTCAATAAAAAAATCCTTACAAGAAAGTATAAACAGAAAAAAAATTGGTTTTAAGTGAGAAACGTAAAAAAACTTTATAGTAGTTGAGAAAAAGATTTTTTTTTAACTAACATAAAAAAAATTGTGTGTATGTCTTTTTTTTCTAAGATTATTACTGTGCGCAAGTCAAGTTTTATTATTTATATGTCTATCATTTACGTAAATTGTTTTCTATCATTTTTCGAGAATAAAACATAATTGATATTTCATAAATAAAAAAATATGTCTAAACGAAAAAATACTGCAAAAAAAAGTTTATGATATTTTTATATATTTTGTATATAGTCAGGGAAAAAAAGAAATAAAATTACTGGTTTGTAAAAATTTAACGGAGAATGAAAATATTTTATTATGCAAATTGTCTTGATTATGTGGAGTGAACAATGCAATTTATCAGCGTATTTGTTACAATATCGAAGGAAAAAAAAAATAATCGTCAAAATCAATTTCAAATAATACGTTTCGTGCATTCATATTTTCTCAATTATTAATAACATATTCAGACAATAATAGAATATTTTTTTTTATCATTCTTCATTTTTCTTGCTTTTTCAAATTGTCCCCAAGTATTATTAACCAACGACGAGAA